GTATTTTTTCTTTTGGCTCGGAAAAATTTTTCGGCCGAATTAAACGCGATTTTGTTTTTCAGGCAAAAATCGATTATTCGAATTGACAGTGAGAATGTTTTTTTAAAATGCCCATAACTTTGTAAAAATTTAATAGATTCCAACAATGTTTTTACTCAAATGTCAGTAATTCTTTTCACTTCAAGATAGAATGATATAATTATAGATTTTCATTATTTAAAATTTTTTATTTAACAATAAACAAAAAGTGCATTTTTTTTTTAATTTAATTTTTCAAAAAGTGTATTTTTTTTTTCTCTCAAACTTTTTTACCGGGAAGGAGACACTTTGAACTACAATCAACCCAAATCTCTAATAGCGAAGATTTTTTTTTTCTGAGTTATGATTTTTTATAGAAAATATACGTTTTTGTGGTACATACTACAATATTCTTATATTGTTGAACTAAATGGAACATATGTATGTAATATATCAGCAAAAAATACAGCCGTGATCATATTTTGTGTATCAAATAGATATTAGAACACACTTTCCACCATACAGTTTCGATTATAAAAAGCGGGAAAATGTGATTTTGCACTCCCCGAACTGGTGCCCATTTAATCCTGAAATGCTCCTGAACAAGTCACGTCTCATAAGACTTAAAAACTTTTTTCTCGCTCATAATTATTATGAAAAAGCTTTTATAATATAAGTCTTAAAATAAAAGTCTTTGAAGACTTAAAAATATTTAGCTCTCTGATAATTATTATGAAAGGACTTTTATAATATAAGTCATTGAATAATAATTATAGACGACTCGAAAAATAACTATCTAAATATAATGATTATTGATTGACTTTTATTCTTTTCTCTTATAATAGTTATGTCTATATTTTTTATTAAACTTTTTTCTAGAACTCCACTGATTGAAATAAAGGCAAGGAGAATATTTTAGCGTTTTTTTTTCGTTTAAACGACTGATAAAATTATATGACTTTTGTGCATTAAAACATTTAGGTAACAAACAAAATAGTTTTTTGTGTGAAGGCAGTATTTTGTAAAAACCCCCAGTATCCATTTTCGCAATCCAAAAAAAAGTACTATACTGATACAGAATTTGGCCATTAATGCCACAAACTCGATTACCTTAACAAAAATCAAAATATATGCTAGCAGGTAAATCAGCTGCCACACAGTTAGCAGATAACTAAGAACATATGAATTCTTATAAATATTTAGCGATCAATATGAATTAGCACGTCCAACATACATGTACGTATAGTAAAACCATTCCTATTTAGTATGCGCTCCTTCGATACATTTACCTGATGGTACTGGTTGACGACCCTCATTACAATCATATAAACCAAACATTAAGTTCATAGCGTTCATATGTCTTTTTATAAGCCGCATAGCGTACCAGTAGCTGTATCATCTTTGCGTTTTTTTTATGTATATATGTATGTATGTATGTATCCAATAAGTGTGGGTGCATTCCAAAATGTCAAAATACAAAGCATCAATCTCTTTTATCTCAAAACCTCAGAAGATTGTAATGCCAAATCGGCGCAACCACGGTTAGATGCTAGTTTTCAACTATGTAGTAGGTTGCGCAAGTAAGACTTTTTCTTCTAGTGCGGTTTCGAAATAAAATAGACTGATGCTTTTTTTGTTTTGAAGTTTTAGAATCCACCCTGTGTCTAGCCGCATCTTAGCACCAATCAATCTTATTTAATGAGTTATGCCAAGGGCAATCAGCAGCGCAAATAACAGCCAACGCACTTTGCAACCCACACACATGCATAACTAAACTACCCAGTGGGAATTAGGAGCACGTAATAATACCTTATTAGCAACTTACTCTTCACCTGGCAGTCATTACCATTTCCCTGCCGAACGTCCCTTACTTTTACAAAGGCATGGCCGCCTTATGTAAGTAGGAATTTAGAATGTACATTTGGTATCAGACATACTTCTGAGCCGCTTTACAAAGTAAGTTACGTGTAATGCAGAGAAGTCGCTCGGAGTAGTTCGGCAATTGGAGATAACTTCGGCTGCACGTTACTTTGCAACTGACAACGTAATGTGTCGTCGGAGGTGTTCATTTTGTGCTTTACTAGTAGATGACATTGGCCATGATGACAATTTTGGTACTAAAAACTGAAAGAAAACATGGCTTAACTCGTAAGGTGCTTACCTATTTTCCCAGTGGGTACGTACTTGTTTGTTAAAGTTAACACTACTACCAGTGATAGCAAATGGAAGGGATATAATTTATTCGATAAGACAAAGAAATATGAAAAAATATTTAAGTACATAAACAATGCAAACATCAGAATTTGCCACCATTACACTCGCTTAAATTCAGATTTTCACACATACTCCTATTTGCATATGTTTCATAGCCAAGGGCAGTTCAATGACACTTGGTTTATATCTTCTCGCTTTTATCACATAATGCTAATGTTTGCAATATTTCATAAGGTATTCTTTACTTATCACATATTGTGGGAATATATAAATACATACTTACATATATAAATGTAAATAGTATAAGCTGATACTCTCAGAATATTCATTTGTCAATTTTATTTGTAAATGCATGTATGTAATTTAATGCATATGTGCGTATATAGGAATAACGGAACATCGCAAATCTCTGTTACAATTACCTCGAAACAAGTCATAGCCAAATTCTGAAATTATATGACTTATAGCAACTAATGGCTCCGAATTACTAAAATCTGCCTGTTCACCTGCATACTTACAGACACACATACATACATATCATGAACGTAAGTTGAGTTTACAAACTGCATTTTAGTTAGTATTTAATGAGAATATGGCAAATGATTTATGAGCCACTAATCTCCCTAATTCTACTAAACCGTTATATCCATATAACAAATTTTGCACGCGCTTTGCCTTCGCTTTCCAATCCATAGGTATATACATAAACTACACTCAGCTCTAAGAAATAACACCACTCAAAAATTGTCTTTTCCATTAAAACGATTTATGCTAGGCGAATAAAATGTTCTGCGAAATTAAATAATCTCACAATTAAGAACACAAAATGGTATTTAATTTTAATTTTTAAAGCAAATTTTACAACATCTGTGTAAAAGATAGCACATATGTATGTATCTATGTATGTATGTATACTTGTTTCACAACTACATACTTACATCATCGTTCGAGGGTCATTAAAAGGACCTTAGAATTGGCAACACTAATGTCATTTCAGTCGATTTGCCCAATGTATCCATCAATTTTTAGATTCAGAATTTTTTAAGGTACACGGTTAAAAATTTCGGTTCTATGTAATTTTAAACTTTTTGGGCTGCATATATGACCAAACTAAATTTACATATATACAAACCTTCTAAGTTAGGTTTAGAATTTAAACAGTTCGGTTTAAATTTTTAACCCAAACATTTTTTATTTCGTTTACTTCACGTTACACTGCACGAAAGCTTTTTCCGTTGCCGTTGAGAATTTTCAGAAAGTCGCAAAAAAGGGGTCATTCAGGGGTTTATTCTTAATTATGAAAAAGCTTTCGTGCAGTGTAACGTGAAGTAAACGAAATAAAAAATGTTTGGGTTAAAAATTTAAACCGAACTGTTTAAATTCTAAACCTAACTTAGAAGGTTTGTATATATGTAAATTTAGTTTTGTCATATATGCAGCCCAAAAAGTTTAAAAACCAATTGTATTAAGGAAAATTTATACAAGGTGGTGTTACTGGCGAATTAAGATCTTCGCCGCGGTACTGCTGAATGTCAAAATGATGTGTTTGTTTTAAACAAGGCGAATTCATATTACTATGATAATTATGTATCATTTAACTTGTGTAAAATTTAATAAAATTTCACTTTCCAAACAGGTGCCACTCCTTTCAAAATATTTTCAAACTATAGCCCCCTTAAACCTCTCTTTTCTGGCACCGATCTTGCCATATATATATTTCAACTGCCTGATTTCCTTAACTCAAGTTGAAGTTGATTTTTTAACAGTGGGCATCCATCCTAAATAACATAAAGAAATAAGGCCTTTTCAAAACCATTTCGAGTGACGACCATATTGTCACAGTTCATTAAACTTGATAAATAATTTGAATTGAATTTAATATTTTCCCACCCCAAAAAATATTTTAAATATTCAAAAACAAAAACACTCACAACACTCCTTCGTCTTTATACCTCACATAACTTTATAGCTTGAGCATTATTTAATTAAATTTCACTTTTCAAGCAGGTGGCAACCCTCTTCTAAATATTTTCAAACTACAACCTTCCTAAACCTCTTTCATCTGACACACATATTTCAACGTCAACACGTAATTCAAACTAAATTTATTTTTTTACATTCAGTTTATATGCGAGGTGCTAGGCCGCCTTCTGCAATAGCGCCATATCTCCATACCAAGTTCTAATACTTCCAGAAGTATAAAGTATGCAAAATTAAGTTTGTATTTTAGGTGCCACGCCCCTTATCTAATCGAGATAAAAGCTATTCAATATTTTAAGTTGGGCTAAATGACACCAGTGCGTAAAATTTCATTATCATCGGTTTAGTGTTTAAAGTTTGAAAGCGTAACAAACAAAAAACTCACTTTCGCTTTTATATCTAAAAAAATAAAAATGAAATATCTATATTAGTAATTAGTAAGGATGAGAGTTCATTGAAAACTATCAAATTTATGGTCAGTGTTTTAACCCAACATCCAGATTTTCAGTTTTTTTTACCATAACTTAAGATTTTGGGGGTGTTTTACAATTCTGACACTGCCAAAATAATTATTTATTCTACCATCTCTACTACATGTCATAAAAAGTGCATGCAGAAAATTTGTATGTATGTATGTATACACGTACGAAACTCAATTGCCCTTACATTTAATTATATATGTCACTTTAATGTAGCATTTACATATTAAAATAACCATTTAATTGAAAAGTCTAATTTGTACTTATGTATCTCGCTCTTCTTCTTCTTCTCATTTCTTTTCATGGCAGTTGCATAATCACGAATTCGTTGAGGTTTGCATGAAGATACTCTATCAAGTGGAATTACATCGAACTACGCTCGAGCAAATGTGGGGCTTCTCCGTCGAAGCGGAACTGATCGAGAACGCCGAACGGCAAGATGAACTGTGCTGCTATGTAAGCCGAGTGGAGGATAAGAGTGTTGCTATGCAAAATGGTAAGTAAAAGAGAAAAGCAAAGAAATTACTTGCCACGATGAAGAATTGCAAATAATGAAACTTTAAATGAGCGAGCATTTAATGAAGAAACTACTCAAATTAAATATGCATTTCCCTCACAAAAATGGACAGTCACAATAGCCTATAGTGCATAAAAATTTACTCGCGCCCAATGTGCGCCCAATATATATGTATGTATGTAATTTAAGTATATATAAGTTTGTTAAAAATGCGTAAAATTTTTACGTGCATCAAAATGAAATTGCATTAATGTCATGAACATAGTATTACTTGCTATACAATGCAGTTGGCAGCCTCACAACAGTAAAGCTATTTTCGCACATGATTAAAAGTGGCAGCGTTAGCATTTATGTACGAGTATAAGTATGTACATATGTATACATATGCATGTGCGGATGAACAACAATAATTTCGGTTGCTCGGCTTGTTTACACTGTTGGCGGCCGTCCTGTCGTGTTCAACATAAAAATTACGCGCTACTACAACAACTGTAGAAAATTAAAAATCGCCAAATTAATTGCACGATAACAAAGTTATATGGCCGACACCGCTCAATGTTGCGACACTGTTGAAACCGGCCAGCCGACCGAGAGCTGAGCGGCCGTCCTGCCTGCCAAACGGCCGACCAACAGGGCGTATACGTAATTTAATTGAAAACCGTACTTGCTGCATATGTATGTACACACACCCTCCTGGCAGTTTGTAACTGGCATGAGAAGCTAGGCGTCAGTTCACGCCTGTAATGCGCTGTTGCTGTAGGCGCTTAACAGCGCTAAAGCATGGATCGACAGCTAGCGTAGCAGTGAGCAAGTGACTACACTGTTGCGGCTGATGAAATTGCTAGCGCTTCGCCGAGCGTATACGGCTTGCCAGATTTCTTTCCAGAATAGTGTACGCATAGGTAGAGTATATCGATGCCTGTAAGAAGATACAGTCGACCGCCGAAGTGGCGCACTAGTGATTCACTTCAGGCGCCACAATTACATGCTTGCCCATACAATGTCGACATGGTAGTGTATATGTACATACATACATTAGTGTGAACCTTATTTGTCAACTTTGAAAGCAAGACTTCTAGATAAGTTCGTGCTTTGAGAACACAAGGCGCCAGAAAATTTGCTTTCTTTCACAGAGTAGTAATAATTGCCTATGAGTCAGAGGGGAAGTTTAATATAATTTACCGGCAGTTAGTGTGCTTTTGCTACCGAATCTAAACATGGACCTCAGATTTTGAAATCTCCTTTAATTAAGAAGAAAAATGCAGGAAAGAAAACCCGCTTTAGCTTAAAAACTGCAGAAGATTTAAAAATGTTTTAGCCAAAGCGGCTTTTCCCGATTTAAAAACCAACCGTTTCATTTAGTAAAAAAAATTTCGCAAACAAATTTTTCGCAACTTTTGGGGATTCTGAGGCACGTCTTTCCTTTATCCGATTTTGAAAATTTTTCGCAGAATAAATAGGGAGAGTCTAGCTTTGCAGCTCCATACAAATTAGGCGCACACTAATGTACATACATATATGCGTATATACATACATTTGTACTTACGTATATGTATGCATCATCCATGCATGCTAAAAGTAAACTGCCGGACTCTTCATACGAAACTGTGCTGTGCGAAGCTGTGCTCGGCGAAAACCTGCGTTGAAATGCGAAAATGAAAATGATGCAAGGCAATAATCAGATTATCACCTGGAAAATGCTACCTCCACTGCTTTGTGCTGTAGCTCTGCTCACAGAATGCCGTCAGAGCAACTTTTCTTGCCGAGCTATACCAATCAAATATGTTCTGCTCATATCGATTTCGAGCAAGTTTTTTGGTGGCAAGGGAGTGAAAATGCTATTGGCAAACACAAGGCAGCTACAGCGCAGCGCTTAAATGCGCCTTAATTGTATCGGCAAACTCAATACCCGCTGATACTATTCCCCAGTAAATAATCGGGAAACGCTTCTCGGTGTTCTTAGTAGTGCATAGTAGAAAACGAGTGCATAAGAGCAAACCTCACGGGTTGTTACATTTTTCGACAAAACCGTATTTTTATGGCCACAAATGGTGGCACACTTATCTTAGACAATGCATTATCTTCCGTTTTACGTAAAGAACAAGATTCCATCGCGAAATTGTATTTAAATGGAAACTTTAAAAAGATATACTAAAAAAAAGTAAAAAATAACAACTCGTGCTCATATACCCGTAGTTGCGTATATAACGTATACGCACCGTAGCAGCATACACAGTCAGCTACCACGTTTACTAGCACGCCTTAACCTAAAATGCATATAATTTAAAACTAATGAAATATTGGCCTGGAAGATTTTAACACAGTATTCCTTATTCACATATATTTTACTTTATTCATCTATATAACAATTTTATAATGAATTTCGAGTGTGCCAATAAAAATTGTAATGTAATTTTTTTCATTTTGTGGCACATTAGTTTAATTTCACTCGATTCATTCGTTTTGGCAGCAAGAACATTTTCACCATTTAATTTTAACACTTTGAAGTATCATTAATTATTAAAATTAAAAAAACTTGAAATTTCAAAAATTACAAAATAGCCGATAACAGATAATCTGCATGCTGCAATTTTTTTTTTAATTTGGTGGCACACTCTTGAAACTGTACAGATATGTTGTATTTGATGCCAACGTCCATTGTCTCTAATATGAACATTATATTTTAAAACTTCCATTATATTTTAAAGATTTCACATTCATTTCCGTGGTAATCGAGTTTCTTGCTGGGTGCAAACTCGCTTACGCTGATATTCACACGCACACTTGTATACATACTTAGCTGCGTATGCATGAAAGTGCCTGCAGATTCCAAAAAAAAAAACAGAAATACTCGTTCGAATGTGTGTGTTTACACAGACACCGTGCATCACACATGAGTGCTAGCGTAATTGCGTTTAACAGCATTTGCCCAGGCCTTCAGCCATCCGATCGGCACAAAAGTATTTAGGCATAATGCGATTCTTTTCCGCTCACAAAAAATAATTGTCCACGCTCACACTAAAATCGATGTTCACACTTCTGTCTGATGATTGCCAATGTGAGGGGGAAAAATAAAAATGCGCATAATAAATAAAAAGGCCATAAAGTTTTAATTTAATTTTTGATCATGAAAATGCAATTTACACGTTTGAGTTACTTTATTTGTGTACAGTAAAAAAAGTATAAAATCGAAAGCGTCTGATATTTAACTTCTTAACTTTACTCGTTCGTGGGCCACGCGTATTTAATTAGAATTTTTTGTATCCAGTTTCTTTAATTTTTAAAGTTTTTAATTTACATAGTTTGTGTTTTTTTTCAGGTTTTATTATTCAAATAACAATTCTATATCTTATTTCATTATATAAAACCTTTATATTTGCCCTAATAAATTGGGTACCTGTAGACCGCAGTTGTGTGATTGCAACCGTGGGAGTAGTTTGGGGCTCCGAATTTCGACAGCTTACTACTCCTACTGTCAAAAATTTTAATAAATTGCAGGGATTGAGAGGTATAAGAGACGTATCTCAGTAGCAAGCGCAGTTGATAAGTGAATAGTATGTCTCCTTAGATAAACTAGGGCCTTTGATGATCAGAATTATGAGGGTGTTTGTTTAAGGCAGAGAAACCCTAGAAATGGGGGTGGGTGGCAGTTTAGGACAAAAGTTGACAAAACGCAGATATATGTATGTATGTGTGGATTTCGGTAGAATACCTCTTCGTTAACAGCATTTGTTCCGCAACTCTTTATTTAATCGAAGAATATTCTAGAAAGGGGCGTAGCAATTTCAGGGAATTAAAAGATTCAAATTTTATTATAAAGTAGCAAATGCCCAGCTTGCTTCGCGATGCCTGATAGACTTTTTGCTTTGACCAATACAAAAGAAGTGCTGAAATGCAAAAACGGTTAACCGCAGTACAAACCGGTTTGTAATGTAAAAATTGTTAGTTTAGGTTGAAAGGACTGAAGAGCGGAATTTTCAAAGCCAAAAATAAATAATAGCGCGGAAATAACAAATGATATACACATGTACGTATATACCAATCACCTTCGATGCTATGAGCTCTTATTTCCACCTGTGAGATATCTGCAAATATTGGAAGGTTTGCCGAGAGTGCGTAACCTTCTTCTATGTTTCCCGTTCAAAAGGGGTTATAGATATTCCTATCGTGCTCTTTCCAATTCGTCACACTTCTTCTTGATATCTGTTGATGTGCGTATAATATCTATGGCGCTTATACAATTTTACGCTGCTTTTCTTTTACTACGCTTTTATTTTCTTTTTTTTTGCATAAGCACGTCTTATGATAAAGCTAATACTCGTTAATCCAGGTGGTGAGACAAAGACGGATTCTATAAATATCTCAAGCGCCATCTGTCGGCACCATTTTTTGCAAAAGTATATTTTGTGATGCAGAACAGCCGACGTCATTCGAGGTAAATAAATTTATGGCCTCCTTATGAACAATACTTGTAATTTTTTGTTGCGGTGTATAAGCATAAATACTATTTGAACATCCCACTCGTGAGCAACCGACTTATGTATAATCACATGTCATTACAAAGCCTCAGAGATTACTGAAGACTTTTAAATTAAATTCAAAGGTCTGTGGGAATAAATGGGACTCCTGACAGAAAGACATCTTCTCCTTTGCAGCATCCAGTAATAATTTTTTACTGCAATTATATTGGTCATTTTCTTTACTACCAATCTTGTTTCATTATTAAGGTTAGCTGGATCAAGGTGCGGAAGGAAAAGTGAAACACGCTTTAATTTTTAAATTGATGTTCTGTGAACGTAGACGGCATGCGTGGGGGAAGGTGCTACGTATTCTTGCAAAGTCGCATCCCTTTTTACGGACATTCCGTTTAGCTGTCTATTCATAATGGGTCCAATGTTATGATTATCTGAATGTACAAAATCTATTGCAGGTGCCAAGCCTCTGGCAAAGACTCACTCTCTTTCAGCTTACTATAAACG